GTTGCCCGGTGGTCGACCCTGAAGGCTGACAGCCGACCCTAGAGCGATGGGGAAACCACCCAGGAGTTCGTCCGAGGGGCGTTGCACACCTCGTTAGCCAAGGACCTATACAGCTCCGGCTCGGAGGTGCTGGTAGAGCGAGTGGCCAAGTCACTCTTCTAGGTAAGTGATGGCCTCCCCTTTTCTCCACTTCCTTCCTTCGTGGATGCTGATAATGATTTCCATGCAGAGCCTGCACTACGGGATGGCGTTGATCGATCGAGTCCTCGACATCGGGCGAGCGATCGGGCGTCAGATGGATCTCGATGAAGCCCTCCGGAAGGTGAACCTAGAGTTGCGAGCCAAGAGGGGTGCGAAGGCGGTTGCCGCGGCTGAAGAGTGCGCCATGGCGTTGGAGGGGGAGGTAGCTCGTTTGAAGACCGAGCTTGAAGAAAGCCGGTCACACATCCGTTCGTTGGATTACGAGCTGTTGTCCCTCTCCCAGGCCGTCGAGGCCACTAAGGCGATGGCCCGGGCCACCGAGGAGGTGCTCGAGGAGGAGGGCTAGGGTTGCCCAAAAGGGTCGAGGAAGTGATCGCAAGGTACAAAGCGTCCGCCGGGTTCGAGCGTGGCCTTTTGAGGTCGGGCCGGGTCACATACTAGTACGGGTATCGTGTGGCCTGTGCTCGTTTCCGAGCGAAGTACCCATACCTGGACCTGGAGTCAGACTCGTTTATCGACAATCTTGCGGACCAGGATGTCGACATGCCAGCAAACATCCCCTTTGATGACGGGCTGCTGACTCCTCCCTCAAGCTAGGGGCTGCATCCCCTCACCTTTTGAGTTTTGTTTTCCCTCCTTTTTTTTGTCCAGTCGAGCTTAAGGCTGGGTCGCCTGACTGCTATATGTACCTCCTTTTTAATCAAGAAGCAGTTTCATTTTGGGAACCCTGGCTTATTCTTCTCCCCAACCGCGGTTGCACGGGCTCCCACATCTTTTCTACATCCCGACCAACCCCTCCCTCCTTAAGGGTAGAATTTCTTTAGGTTCATGGCATTCCATGTTCTCGAGAGGGGACTTCCCTCCATAGTTTCGAGTCGGTAGGTCCCTTCTTAGACAATGTCGTAGACTCGGTAGGGGCCTTCCCAGTGGGGTGCAAGTTTTCCCCTTGCTCGGGTCGGGTCGCTTACTTCTGCTCTTCGGAGGACGAGGTCTCTGACCTGGATCGACCACGGACGGACCCTTTGGTTGTATATCTGAGTGGTCGCCTTCTTGTATGTTAGGGCGCGTAGGTGTGCCTTGGCTCTTCTCTCCTCAAGGAGGTCCAAGTTAGCCCGTAGTCCCTCCTTTGAGTGCCCTCGCTCATAGTTAGAGGTGCCTAAGGTCGGGAATACCATCTCGGGTGGAAGAACTGCCTTAGTCCCGAATGCTAGGTTGAACAGGGATTCCCCCAAGGCAGTTTTGGGAGTTGTTCGCATTGCCCATAGGACACTGAGGATCTCGTCCACCCAGGCCCCATGTGTGCCTGAGATTCTCCTCTTGAGGGCTTCAAGTATTGCTCGATTTATCACCTTGGTCTGACCGTTGGTCTGGGGGTGTGTGACTGAGCCAAACTTCAACTGGATTTCGTATGAATGGTAGTAAGCCTTGAATTTAGTGTTGTTGAACTGAGTCCCGTTGTCGGCGATGATAGCCTTCGGGATCTCGAACCGGGTGATGATGTTCTTCCATGTGCAATTCTGGACGTGCTTCTCGGTGATGGAGGCCAAGGGTTCTACCTCGACCCACTTCATGAAGTAGTTGACCCTAACTATGAGGAAGCATCGCTGACCCGACGCTGGAGGGAAAGGCCTGAGGAGATTGAGCCCCCGTTGGGCAAAGGGCCAGGCCACATCTATCGGAGTTAGGGGAACTGCTAGTTGGTGTTGCAGTCGGGCATGCCGGTGGCACTATCGTGCATACGTCATGGCGTCTTGGCACGTGGTCGGCCAATAGTACCCTTGCTGGAGGGTCTTAAAGGCTAAGGTCCGCCCCCCGACATGCTCCCCACAAATCCCCTCATGGAGCTCGACGAGGATGGTTTCGACCTCCGACAACGCGAGGCAGTGCAGGAGGGGTTGAGAGAAAGCCCTTCGGTACAATCTTTTGTCGATGACACAATACCAGGCTTGAGCTTGCCTCAATTGTCTCATAGTCGTCAGATCCTTAGGCTCTTCCCCACCCGCCTTGTAGCCGAGGATCTCCTCTACCCAATTTGGGGGTAGATTTGTTTCGGCGACCTCGTGAGTCGCTATGGTCGAGGCCGCCATGGACTCAGTGGCCGAGACTGACTCAGGGGTGCAGCCAGAGGCTGATTTGGCCAGCGCGTCGGCCCGCTCATTTTGTGCCCGAGGTATTCTGGTGACTAAAAGGTGGTCAAAATGGTGGGCGAGCCGCTTTACCTCCATTAGGTATGATACCATCGTGGGGTCTCGGGTTTCGCAGCTCCCATTGATGTGTCCCATCACCAGTTGGGAGTCACTGAAGACTTCAAGATCGTCTATGTGCAACTCCAGAGTGAGGCGTAGACCATGGAGTAGCGCCTCGTACTCAGCTTCTTGTTAGTGGCTTGGAACTTCAATTGGAGAGATCTTTCATAAGTCTCTCCCGATGGGTCTTTGAGGATAAACCCGACCCTAGCCCCCTTGGAAGTGGAAGAGCCATCTACGTGCAGCGTCCACGTGCCCTGTTGCTTTGCCGCCCTGCAGCCTGGTCCTAGGGTGCTAGCTCGGAGATAAAATCAGCCAGTACCTGAGCTTTAATGGCAATCCTGGGGAAGTACTGAATATTGAATTCGCTGAGCTCAACCCACCATCGCAGCATACGACCCGATATGTCGAAGTTGGAAAAGGTCTGCCGCAGCAGTTGGTCGGTGATTACTTTGATCTTATGGGCTTGGAAGTAGGGCCGCAACTTTCGAGCCATCATGATAAGGGCGAGAGCTAGCTTCTCAATCGGGGAGTATCGCATTTTGGGCCCTCCAAGGACATAGCTGACGTAATGCACTAGCTGTTGCACCGATGGTACCTCCCGAACTAACACTGAACTGACGGCCTGTGTCGAGGCCACCATGTAGATGCCGAGGGTCTTACATAGCTCCGGCAAGGTGAGTTGGGGCAAGCAGGCAAGGCACTCTTTCAGCTTTTCGAAGGCCTCCTCACATTCTGGGGTCCAAGTGAAGTCGTTGGCCCATCGTAAAACCCGGAAGAAGGGGAGGCACTTGTCGCCTGAACACGACATGAACGTACTGAGTGCTGCCAACCTCCTGGCAAGTCACTATACTTCTTTGGCCGAGCGGGGAGAGTGCATCTCGGTAATGGCGCGAACCTTCTCTGGGTTGGCATCTATTCCCCATTGGTGAATGATGAAGCCGAGGAACTTCCCCGAGCTGATCCCGAAGATGCACTTTGTTGGGTTTAGACGCATGTTGAACTATTTGAGCGTTTGGAATGTTTCCGCCAGGTCGACCAAATGTGTCCCTGTAACCTTACTTTTTACAATCATATCATCTATGTACACCTCAATATTCCTCCCGAGCTGGTGTTTGAAAAGTTTATTGACCATTCTTTGGTAGGTCGCGCCAGCGTTTTTCAAGCCAAAGGGCATCACCTTGTAACAATACGCCCCCAGGTTGGTGATGAAGGCAGTATCTTCTCGGTCTTGGGTCGCCATCGGGATTTTGTTGTAGCCGGAGAATGCATCCAGGAACGTAAGGCATTCATGGTCAACGGTGGCGTCAACCAGTTGGTCTATCCTAGGGAGCGGATAGCAGTCCTTGGGACATGCCTGATTGAGATCGGTGTAATCAATACGCATTCTCCAACTTCTATTAGGCTTCTTGATGAGGACTACATTAGACAACCACTGGGGGTACTTAACCTCGGTAATGAACCCGGCCTTTATAAGGTGATCGACCTTGTCTTGGATCACTCTCTGCCGGTCAGGGGTGAATCTTCTTAGTTTGTGCTTTACCGGCCGCGCCCCAGGGTCGACGTAGAGCCAGTGTTGCGCCACCTCTGAGTCGATCCCAGGCATCTCTTCGGGGGACCACGCAAATAGGTCGGCTTTCTTCCTCAGGAAATTGATAAGGTAGAGCTAGTCTGCTTCGGGGAGTGTAGTCCCGACCCTAACGGTCTGGTCGGGTCAGCTCCGCTTTAGGGGTACCTTGATAAGAGGCTCTGGGGGCTCCAGCGTCACTTGTGGTACAGGTGCTTCATGGGGCTCGGGAACCAGGGTTGAGTGCGACTTTGCTGGGAGAGCAATCGCGGTGAGGTAGCATCGCCTCGACTCCCTCGAGTCGTTTCGGGCCTCCCCAACCCTAGCCGAGGTTGGGAACTCGATGGTTCTGTGATAGGTGGAGACTACCACCTGGATCCTGTTGAGGGTCGGGCGACCGAGGATGACGTTGTAGGCCGAGGGCAGGTCGACCACCATGAAGGTGGTCATTACTGTTTTCGCCCTCGGTTCCTCCCCGATGGTGATGGGGAGCATTGTGGTCTCGAGCAGGGAGATGGAATCCCCAATGAACCATGTAAGAGCTGACGTCACAGGGGTAAGATCTCCTTGGGTCAAGCCGAGCCTCTCGAAGGCATCGAAGTAGAGGACGTCGGCGGAACTCCTAGTGTCAACCATCACCCTCTTAACTCCGGCGTTGGCGATTTGAATGGAGATCACCAGACCGTCGTCATGGTGGGAGCGCTCGACCTCTCCTACCCCAAAGGTAATTTTAGGCTCGTGCTTAGGCCGGGGACGCTTCTCCACCGTGCTACGTGCGTAGGCCTTTCTTGCTGTCGCGCTACTACTGTCGGCTGCTGGTCCGCCAGAGATGACATCGACCTGTCTCTCGGGGGGTCCTCTGGGGTCTGGAGTCACCTCCTAGGATTTTAGGTAGCGTCCGAGGTGGCCTCTCCGGATTAGTGCTTCTATTTGATTCTGAAGGTCATGGCAATCCTCCGTGTCATGACCGTAGTCCCGGTGGAACCTGCAGTATTTAGATTGATCTCTACGGGCGGCCTTCATAGGGCGAGGTTGCTGCAAGAGGCTCGTCTCCTTGATTTGGAGGAAGATCTCAGTACGAAACACATTTAGGGGGAGAGGTGGGGGTCTTGGGAGCGGTAGCTCTTGTCGGTTGGGCCACCGACGAGGAGGTGTCGGGACCGCCGAGGTCGTTCCTTAAGACAGCTCCATCCTTGGCTTCTTGCCTTCCACGTGCCACTCTGCCATTAGAGCCTCGGTGGCAATGCACTGGTTGGCACGTTGGAGCATTTTAGAGATGATCACTGGTGGCTTCTCGATCAGCGACCAAAAGAACCTTGAAGGCTTCAGACCCATCAGAAAGGCCTATAAGATTAGAGAAGGGTGAGCATTCAGAAAACCTCGATCTCGTTGGCGAACCGTGCCACGAACTGAGAGAGCGACTCGTCCTCATGAGAGGGCCTGTGCCATGCATTGGCGAGGAAGTTTTGTTCAAAATCCTCGGCCAATTGGTTGAAGGACGAGACTGAAGCTTGGTGTAGCTAGTTGAACCACGTCCGCTCCGACCCCCTTAGAGTGGTCAGAAATGCTCAATACATTAGCGCATTGGAGGCACCATAGAGGGCCATCTAGGCTCGGAATACAGAGACATGCTCCATGGGATCATAGCCTCCCTCATATGTCTCCAATATCGAGAACCTGAAGTTGAGGGGTACCGGTTTGTCCTGTACTTCCTGGGTAAAGGGGGACCTGCCCGAGGCGCCCTCGCTGGACTTGCTACACGACCTCCGAAGCTTGCGTTGGAATGCATCCAAGCGCTGATTGACTCGAGACAACTGGGCCCTAAACGAGTCGTCCGTCGAGTCGGACGATATGGTGTCGGGCTCTAGATGAGATAGCGTGGCTCGGTAGGGTGCGGGTGCGTTTTTCTCGGGACGACCCCTCGGGTCCGTCGCTCGCCCACAGGCCTCTCTGATCCTAAAATGTTCCCCATTCGGGGGTTGCCGGGCCGGATCGGTCGGGGGCGTCGCCAGTTGCACGATTTGGGGAATCATCGGGGCGAGCGTCTGCATCATGCCCGCCATAGTATGCACTTACTTGGTTAGGCCAAGGAACGCCTCGGGTGTCCCTGCCGAGGGCCCCGGGGTGAGCCCCAGGGGCGACAGTCTCGGGTCATTGAACAAACGCTAGTAACGATTAGGCGTCAAAGCCGGTATCCTTCCGTCCACAGGGGCGGAGAGGGCTTGACCTTCTGGCTCGACGGAAGGGAGGTCAGTTGGGGGTTCCCTCCCGGGGCAAGTTCCTGTCGGCTGTTCTTGCGACATAAGCCCTCCTTGTAGTACCAAAATGTTAGTGAACAAAAATATCGTGGCTGATGAGTCAGCACGGTTAGGTCCACATGTCGAGTTGGGAACTTCCGATGGAATAAATGGGATGATGAGGTGGCTGCGCCCCTCGAGCATTTCGGGCGAGGGTTGAGGTGGCAGGATCGACTGAGTCCTCGCAAGTGGCTAGGGGTTAGCACCCCAAAGCTAGCCGACCCGAGCATCGTTTATGGTGAGATGCGTCCTCTCGTTCTCGGGGTAGTTGGCAATCTTCCTCGTCATGTGGGCACCTCCTTGAGATGGGAGATGCAGGCTAGCGTTAGTCGAGATTCGAGCCGCTGGACCACCCTCTGCATATTGAGTGACGACTTTGGGGTGAAGACACTCACAGCTTGATGGCGATCACCTTCCTACAAAATGGCCTTCGTCGGGTGTGCCCTGACTTTGGCCCCTCCGACAAGCAAGTCAGATTGGTTCGGATTCCCTTGTTTTTTCTCCCCCCCATCCTTAGGATCGGTCGGGGGTATTCATACCTGCGTGGGAGAGTCGGTTGCACCTTGGTTCGACATGGCCACTGATTCTCGTGGGGGTGGGACAACTCCTCTAATGAGATAGCGTCTTCGGGGGTGCATGAGCGGCGTCAAACGACACTGTCCCAAAAGCAGACGGCACCATCCCAAGCTCCTCGGGTAGTCAGGTCATACAGTTGCAGAGTTGTATAGTACCGAACTTGATGTGGCGTGAATCCCGTGGTCTTGGTGGTGTACGGCGTTACGTTCGTGACTTGTTGGTTTGCAACGTTTGTTCGTGACTCATCTAGGCCCAAAATATGCCCTATCAGCTAGTTAGTAGTATTATGATTAAGCTGGACTTGTTTCTCTTGTTGGCATATATATGGGAAACTTTGCTTAGCGACTATCTGGGAATGAAGTCGGACTCCATTCCACGTATATTTCCGCACTGTGTTTGACTTAATATTAGGGTTGATCTCAGTTCAAAACTCAAGCTGAGTTCATTTATTATTTTGTGCATTTATTATTAGTTTGAGCTTTGTTCGAGTTTGCCTCATCATAAATCAAACCTTTTGGGTTCCTCGTGGAGTCAGGTTTTTTAGTCTTATTTTTCAATGGGGTATTCAACATCTGAGTAATAATTTTCAAAGTTGTTCATGCATGAATGAGCTACTTTACTTTCAAGATCTACCAACAAGCTCACTAATGAATCAGCTCATATTGACCTTTTAGGTCGGGATTTTAGACATTGTTTTAAATTCTGAATCTAAATTTTTGAATTTG